AGCGTATTGCTTCACACACCGCACCTTTTTAGATCTCTGCTTATTTTCACCATGGCTAATCTATACACAACCTTTCTTTCTTACGTTTTGCACTTTCACCGATCCCTGCATTGGCCTAGAAAGTTCATCGGGGTGTTCCGACGTAGTTTCCCGTTGTCAGTGGTGCAGAAAGGAAGTTCTGGGGACAGCTGTCTAGTCGTTCGGATGTGACGAAAAACCGAGGTCCCGTGTATGTATTAGTGTGCACGTAAAGGATCCCTTGGCAGTTGGAATTCGATATAAGATTAGGCCATGGTGCCGTTGCCCGGGCAAACTTCCCCTCATAGCACACTGTATGGCGTATGCCCGTTTTCATTAGCCCAGTCCAATCAACCGGAGTCAACATTTAACCAAAATATAGGGGTCATTCATTAAACTGCGGAGGCAATTGAAGACGCATAAGGTGAATTTGGAGGTTCAAGATTTACCATTTTTATTTTATAATAGCTCTGACAGCTGTAAACAAATATTTGTTTGTTCCAGTTTTATTAACTGCTTATCATTAAGTTCATCACATGCGTCACTTCCTTAATTGTGTTTACCGATAAAATCGAACATCTGTAGTATTTGTCTACTTTAAAATTTTAAACGGAAGTAGAGTTAAAGCAAGTTGGCAAATATCCTCTTCCGATCTCAATGATATGAGCTAATTTTCACCTTTAGTTTAAAATATAGAAGTGATTAATGTAAGGAAGAAAGGTTTTATGGACGATCGCTGTTCACATCTGGCTTTTTGTTTAAGAAGTAAATTTTATTTGATATTCAAAGGTCTAGTTAGCCAAGCTCACGTAGTTTTTGTGCACACGCCTACAATGTGAACATATATTGTCGTCACGTCTGTTCGTCGTCTGTCGCATTTCCTACACTCAGCAAACCCCAGCAAACTCCAGTACCCTACATCTAGCCTCGGCTGCTTAACGAATTCCGCCATTGGAACTACTTTCAAGTTCCCGGATTACAAATGGCGGCGACTTTGAAGTCGCCTGTGAAGAGTATTTTATCATATAAAGCTTAAGCTTTCAATGTCTGAAGCTGTTTTTCTTTCAAGTTTATCCGATTTTCTTTAAACAAAGGACAGCTTTGAAATGAAAACCCTGCACACAATTTTTCGAACTTCTTTCTAAACGCGCCACGGCTTCCTGTTAGTAAACCGAGAACCGCATCGTAATTGTATAGTTGTTGGTGCATGTCACTTACCGTCATTCAGCCGAGGCTGGATGTAGAGTAGCGGAATCTGCCGACATTTGCCGAGTAATGTTACTAGTTTAGTTTAAAAAATCTAAAATTTGCCGAGATTATTTATTGAGAATTAAAGAGGAACCTAAATAAAATTCACAACTTTTTAATGCAAATTTAACTTTTTCCCTGAGATTTGGTGGCAATGATTTTAAAGCTAACAGGGGCGACTTTGCTGCTGATGGACGTATTGAGGAGACGGTCAAACCGACTCCAGTGCCCCCACCCACACTGCGCCTATGTTTCATCTGTATCTGTCAATGTTCACATTAGTCGCTTTTTCTTAAGATCTGCAGTTTTCTTTCTTTAGATTACCCCATTTGCTGTTTAGTACTCTACAAACGCCAGTTAGTAACCAGACAAATTAGGTGGAAGTGAACGTTAAACTAGACGTCAAAAATTCCCTAGCATTTGTCAGACTGTCGATGAACACCATTTATATATTTTTTCTCAAATTAAAGAAATAAATGTATAAAATGAAGTCGAAATGAATGTAATCTAACAAACAACGTTTCGGACACACGCCATTCTTTAAACATACATTATGCAAGAGCTAAATCTACCTATTGCTGGTCTTTCTTTAGGCCTGAAATGTTATAGAAATTATTAATTAGACATTAATCAACTTATCCACGCCATAATCAACCCTCGATGGCATCGCTGGCCTGCGATATTTACTGGATTATGATCCCATTTGCTGCTCGACTTCCATTTATAATTTAATCATGAAATGGATGATCGAGACTTTATTTTTTATCGTACATACGTTAGTTTTCAATCGCTTAATTTTCGGTTCATAGTGGAACAATCTGACTGAAATTCTCAGCTAATTGCCTTTACATTATCTAGTTTGTTTTTAACTATTATAGTCAGAACTGCCAGCTCTTTATCGTATTTTCCATAATGTATCTTTATTGATTTAGTACGTCCAGGTAGTGATCCAAAATATTCCATCAGTCCATTTGTTAGGCTTTTGTTTACGGTACCAAAAGAATTGCTTATTAACGAAACGTTGTATTACATTGTATTCATTCACTCATCTTGTTAGTAGTGTAGGCCAAGTGCCTAGTTGTTCGGATTGCACTACAAAACGAGGTCCCGTACCATGTGCACGTACAAGAACCCTTGACAGTCGGAATTTGACGGGCAAAATTTCCACTATATCACACTGCTTGTCTTGGTTATCCCGGTTGTTACAGGAAAGTAAGACGTTATATCCCATTTCATTTCACATGCTTTCTGATATTATCTTATATTTCCTCTAAAGTATTTATCAGTGTGTTTAAAATGCTTGCATATTATATATAACAACACGTGTCACTATGAACGTGTAGAATCTTAAATGAAATTCGTATTCTAGTCGATATAGCACCGTTCAAAATAGATTCGGAGCTCAAAATTAATTTTATTCAATAATATATGCTGTTTTCCAAAACTTATATGCTGTTTTCTATGCTGTTTTCCAAAACTTATATGCTGTTTTCCAAAACTTATATGCTGTTTTCCAAAACTTATATGCTGTTTTCCAAACACCAATCCTACTGTTCCATTGTTTATCACAATCTGTTTATAGAAATTGTATTTCCAGATTTTCCACAGAATAATCACATTGTGTGGTATTTTATTATAGCGTGGTTGTTTATTATTTTAACAACGTGTCTTGTATTTTATTATAGCGTGGTTGTTTATTATTTTAACAACGTGTTTTGTATGTTATTATAGCGTGGGTGTTTATTATTTTAACAACGTGGTCGTTTATTATTTGAACAATGTATCTTGTATTTTATTATAGCATGGATGTTTATTATTTTAACAACGTGGTTGTTTATTATTTTAACAATGTATCTTGTATTTTATTATAGGATATGTTTCCGGGTTACAACACAGCCAATCGTTACTACGAAGGTAAATGAAATAAAGCCAATACAAAATATAAAGTAAAACCACAATACGCTTAAATACTTGCCAGGAACACTTATTGTATTCAAATATGGCGCCCAGAACCCCGTACAAAATTCCAACCTTCGGCCACTCCTATTTCAATTCCTACGTGATCTTTAACTTAGTATTCTACCCACCCCAATTACTACTTGATCTTTAACTTAGTATTCTACCCACCCCAATTACTACTTGATCTTTAACTTAGTATTCTACCCACCCCAATTCCTACTTGATCTTTAACTTAGTATTCTACCCACCCCAATTCCTACTTGATCTTTAACTTAGTATTCTACCCACCCCAATTCCTACTTGATCTTTAACTTAGTATTCTACCCACCCCAATTCCTACTTGATCTTTAACTTAGTATTCTACCCACCCCAATTCCTACTTGATCTTTAACTTAGTATTCTACCAACCCCAATTACTACTTGATCTTTAACTTAGTATTCTACCCACCCCAATTCCTACGTGATCTTTAACTTAGTATTCTACCCACCCCAATTACTACTTGATCTTTAACTTAGTATTCTACCCACCCCAATTACTACATGATCTTTAACTTAGTATTCTACCCACCCCAATTACTACATGATCTTTAACTTAGTATTCTACCCACCCCAATTACTACATGATCTTTAACTTAGTATTCTACCCACCCCAATTCCTACTTGATCTTTAACTTAGTATTCTACCCACCCCAATTACTACATGATTTTTAATAAAGGTACAACCGCACTCCCAAATCCTGCTGATTTTTAAAGCGGAAATTGCAAATTTTCAAGTTATATTTTTAAAATGTATTAAAATAAAGCCTTAAAATAGATGGTATCCATAAACAGTCCTACCTTGTTAAATAAAGCCTTAAAATAGATGGTATCCATAAACAGTCCTACCTTGTTAAAGAATAATTCTATTAATCCTATAATTCGCTATTGCCAGCTGAGAAATTGGCAAAAATATCATTTTTAACTTCAAATTACAACGTTGGAAAATGGCTGCCCCATGTTGTCAATAGCAAAACAGGGGAGGTAATTGTGTTATTATTTCCTGTGTCATAGATTTTTAAGGGTGGAAATAATGCCCATGATCGTATAATAGTGATTTGATAACCTATTGAGCAAAAGACATAGAAATAATTATATTTTGACTTTCTTATAAAATTTGAAATTCTCGCTTTAACCTAAGATGCCATACCACCCACAAGTCCTACTTGAATTTTAACCAAGGTACCCCAAGTCCTACTTGATCTTTAACCTAAGCACCCACCCATCCTCATATCCTACTTGATCTTTAACCTAAGGTCATACCCCAAGTCCTACTTGATCTTAAACCTAAGGTCATACCTACTTGATCTTTAACCTAAGGTCATACCCCAAGTCCTACTTGATCTTTAACCTAAGGTCATACCCCAAGTCCTACTTGATCTTTAACCTAAGGTCCCACCCCAGGTCCTACTTGATCTTTAACCTAAGGCCCCACCCATCTTCATATCCTACTTGATCTTTAACTTAATGTCCCACACCCAAGTCCTAATTGATCTTTAACCAAAGGCCCCACGCCATCCTCAAATTATATTGTCATTTTGGAAGATCTAGATGGTTTTAAAGACGTGTATTTTAGATAAGTTCTGACGTTGTTTTAGTCACAGGTCCCAGGTTGGTTGATTTTTCCTCCCAATGTGAAAGTGAATATGCCAGTCCCGATATCACATAGTGTGTGTTGAATGGAAGTTAAACCCCATTGTCTCTATCTCGCTCTCTATCAACAGGTGAGCTGGGTGATTTGGATGGAGATGGTATGGGTGAAAATGAGGTTGAGCTGACGTTTTCACAGTCAAGTGAAGGTGAGTATTTTATACAGTGTACAAGCGGCAAAAGGCCCTCATTCTATACTGAATAAAAACATGGTAATGCACGGACTTTTTCTATTTTTTTTTTTGTTTTCTCTTATCTAGTGACAGTCATTTATAGCTCGTTACTTCAGTCATTTATATAGAAGGATAACGCTTGTTCAGCATTTTTTGCGTCACTTCTGTTTCTTCAAATCTTAGCTAAGCATCTATCTTTGCAATGATCTCTGTGTTAAAATTATAATTGGACGTGTTTTTAAAATCAGTTTTATCACATATGTGATAATGCCTGACACTAATAATGTCGTTTAACCTATCGTGCGATAGCTGCGTTCGTTCTTAAATGTAATGATCAATACTCATCTCGATTCCGACTTATTTGGACATAGAGTACATGACAGAGATAAAATACATATTGACCATGTCCTTATCAAATTGAAATGGCCACGCTTAATTGATGTCGGTCACTAGATTTTATGAGTTGATTGGTTTTGTGAGATTAGAATCTGTATTAATGGAAAATGTTACGTTTATAGATAAAGTTAGTATTGCTATATAACTGATTTTGATTTCCAATTAAACTAAATTAAGTAAACAAGCCAACTTGAGCTTAACCTGCGGAAGCAATGTAATTGTGTAGAGTTTGCTGCTTCTCTATTAACACTAATAACATTATACCAGATAGGTTATTGGACCGAAATAAAAGGTTTAGCTCCTTAGAACAAAAAGTTGTCATGCCATTCACTTTTTAATTGCATACATATAAACATACAATGATCAGGTATTTATACTAGCTTTTCTGTTTCTACAGGGAGAAGAAGGTCTGTTCGATTTAACAATGATGATAACATTATACCAAACAGAGCTGGTGGTAACAGCAGTGGTCTGTTGGCTCCAGGTACACACGGATCTCTTAAACCGGTGTCGGAACACGTCCTCACCCCAGTACCATCGCCTCTGCCGCCAGAGTTTTTTCGAAAAGATTCAGCGACTATTGAACCGGTACGACAAGATGTCAGTGCAGTGGAAACGCTTCTTCTTCGACTTTTGGACGATCTGAATAATGCTCGCCTATCTCGTGAAGACCTTGAAATGCTAGCCACCTATTGCTTCGGGATTCTTAAAGATCACGACGAGGATGATACTGGGGAGTTGGAGGGTTTTGAAATACAAAAGGATCTGAAGAAAACATCTTCCTGTCGTGTCGCAAATGAGCTTATCCAGTTTACTTTGCATAAATTATTGAAGGATATAAAGAGTGGGGCCATCCAAGATGGAGATCTGACAGCCATAACCAAGTCTCTGGTTAGTCAGCGCCAGCAGAGATCAGGAAATCCCCTGGATGACGACATTTACGATCATGTTATGGATACTCTTGAAAGAGTTGGCGTAGAGTTGGGTGGAAAGGAAGACAGTGTGAATGATAATCTCGGTGCAGATGACTTTATCTCCGATACTTTATGTCAAGTTGTAGACGATATTAAGAGCAAGAAATTATCAGAAGCGGATTTGATTAAAATTGGATCAAACGCGATAGCAGCAAGCAAAGATGAATCAACGGGTATCCGTGCGTCGGAGTTCAAACCGTCGTTAGTGAAACTTCTCCAAGATCTGAATGAAAAGAAACTGAAAGTAGACAGCACATTGTCTGCTATTATTTCATCTTATTACATAGTTAGCAAACTCAATAGAGAAGCGATTAAAGACTTTGTGAAGGAAATATACCCTAAGCTTGTTCTTGGATTAAATCAAGTGAATGATGCCAACTTAAAGACCAAGTTAACAACGTTAGCTGCTGATATAGAAGGTGATAAGTTGGCCGAGTTAGAAGTACAGGAAGTTGGAAAGGTAATACTGGATGCCGGGAAGAAATATCTGGCTCAAAGACAGACAACTAATGAAACAAAATCTTCTCCAAGTAAAGATGCCCCAATAGGTTTTAAGGATTTGACATCCGGGATAAGAAAAAACGTAAACAAAATTGATTTCAGGAAGGTTGTTTTTAAAGCGTTAGCGGAATATTTCGTCAGTAGCGAGAAACCGAGAAGTAATTCCAAGAGCGGCTATAGATCGATACATATGCCAGCATCATCTCAATCTAAACTAGCTGTTAATATCATTCTAACAACCATGGATAGGATTACTAGGGACGTCTACACCAACCAAATCCCAACAGTTATTTTAACTTCCATAGCAACATTCTTGTTTCATCTGGCCAAAAAACACCCAACAATTCATGATCTGGATCAACAATTTCCAGAAACGAAACCTATGGACGTCTTAGAACACATGTTACATCAGAGCAAACAGAATAAAATTACTTACAGGGATACAAAGAGAATCTTCGCATCTATTTTTCACAGTTACGTCGATCCGATAGTTGATGACAAGGTACCAGAATTTCAAGAAATAGACCATAAAAATACGCTATTGATCGGTGAATTGATTGACGAAACCATCAATCATATTGTCAGAACAGTGGCTATAGAAATAAAAGAGAAGCTTCCAGGAGAGCAGATTGCTGTAATAGAAATCGAAGATTTGGTGCGAGAGGAGCTTCATGGTTTGGGGGATTCCTCTGGACGTTCACCAGAAATAAAGCATATCGAAGGCGACCTGAATGAACTTGTGATGGAGTGCTTAAGCAAAGCTGCCTGTGACATCGCTAACTATGTGGAAGGTGTTGATTCAGAAGCTTCATTTGCAAGTTGTACTAAGATAGACGAAGCTTGTTTTAGTAGTCGTGTGGTGGACTTCATACTGTCAGTCATAGACCATTTAATTAAAAACTTTAAGAACGGTGATATTACGTCCGCGTCAGTTTGTGAATTTCTGACATATGTCTTAAAAACAAGTCATGTCGGGATGACTGATGATCATTTAAACGAACGATTGAATCTGTTGAAAACTGATATAGAACAGAGAAGGGACGATTCATCTTTTTTCTCGTCAGTAGCAGTTCTTTTCTCACAACTGACTTTAAATCCGCGTTCCACGTCACCAGAACTTTGTATCCTCAGTAAAATTCTGTCCTCAATTGACGCCAACGTGCTGCTCGAGTTTGTTCAAGCTGCCATGTTGTCCGTGCTCACATACATTAACGAGGCACCACGTGAACAGCTGGAGTTACCAATAGACGACGAGAACTCACTATTCAGAGTCGAATCTTTTATCCTAGTGAGGCGGGTCATTAGTTATGTCATCAATAAGATCACAGACGATGTCAAATCACAAGCAATGAAAACATCGGGAAGTAAAAGTTTGTTCAAAAGATCGTCCTTTAAGAAGGTAGACAACGCACCCGAGCATGACATGAAGCTTCGGGAATGCGTTTTAGATAAGCTAAATGAAACTATCATAAACCTAAAGTCAGAATTAGGAGTCGATGACGGGAACATTGATCAACACAAATTAAGTCCTATGACATCCATCGATAACAATATCCTGATCCAAATGGAGAAGATAACACAGATGATTAAATGCCGAGCAGCTGGAGGACCCTGTGCTACATCAACTAAAGATGACTTATTTGCCATAGCTGATGTGATGAAAGAAGTTACTGAGGATATGACGGAAGCCCTTGGGAATGTTTCCAATCTCAATCTGGCAACAAATATTTTCTTGACGGATCTTACTTCAGATAATGTGGAGCAGCTAGTCCTTCAAACGATCCATGATGCACTTACTAGTATGCAAGCCGAGGATGTCGCACACCTTGATAAAACGATGAGTCTTTCAATCGTTTCGTCCAAAAGCTCACACTTGCTGGTGGAGATGTTTACAGAAGTGCTTTCACGAACTGTTGACAATGTCAAACAGAACAGAATAGGCCGAGAAAATCTTACTGCATTAGCGGAAGACCTCGCGGAAAAAGTCGGTCCATGTCCGAAAAGCTCGTTTGATTCAATGGACGAAACAATGTTAACTGACTTTGTTGTAGAATGTTTGTCCGAGTTTAAAGAACGGGTAGAAGCTGGGAAACTGGATAAAAATGTAATGGAGGAAGTCACACGTAGAATGGCTTTAATGCACATAGATAAATCAAAGAGTAGTTCGTCTTTGTGTTCAGTATCTTCGATGACCGTCGACATAATGGTTACGAATGTTTTGTCGTCAATAATAACAGAAACAGGCAAAGCTCAAGCACTGACTCAGGTAGAACACATGGCAATTCCTTCCGGTAAAAGTCTCAATGAAGCGGAATCCTTGAATGAAGTGATCTTAAAACCCATAGTAGGCACCAAACCCTTAAACGTAGGCGAAGATTTGATTTCGCCAGCACTTTCCGCCATAACGATGAAAACGAGAGCTAGTCACCATAATCCACCAGAAACGGAACCTCGCCAATCATACAGAAGTCTTATCTGTCCAGACATTCGTGATAAAACAGCCAAGGGAGCCATCACAGCGATTGTAGGTAGTGATAAAATGGGAAGCGGCGCTGTAGTGAATCTGAATGAATTAGAAGAACTCAGCGGAGAAGAAACTTGTGCTTCAGATACTGAATCACAGACTTTTATTATAACTGAATTAACAGGTTCCCAGGCGTCTGCGGGTCCGGCTGCAGGCAAGTCGTCTAAGACGCATAAATCCGCGGAGGCAGTCACCAAAACAAGCAGCTCAGACGCCAAACCTAAATCGTCGACCACCGGCAAATCTTCAACTACAGTGAAATCAAAGTCCAAAACATCGTCTTCAAGCGTCACCAGCAAACACAGAAAAAGTCAGACGACACACAAAGAAAGTATGGAAGAGCTTGTCCATGTGCACGATGTCCTGACAGACCCCAAGTCTACAGAATCCCAGAGTCAAGTTGGAGCAACTCAAGTAAAATCAGTATGTGGGTCACATCGGTCTGCCATTGTTGTAAGAGAACAGGAGGAGAACGTTGATTCACGGTAAAAGTCTTTAAGGTATGTTCGACTTTTATGATAAAATACTTTAAGATGAACTATGTAAAAGCTAAATCGTCTTCTTGCAGGCCCGCTTTCATTAGCCCAGTCGGAGCAGAACAGTAGGACGTTAAACCCCATTTCATTTCCTTTTATTTCCTATTGCAGGTTTTTCACTTGGCTTCAAATGTTATATAAATTATTATACACTAATTAACTAAGTCTATAATCAACTCTCTAGACCATCAGGTGGTCGAGATTTAAATGGATTTAATCATCCGCGCGATTTAAAAATGTAACGATGCAATAGACAATCGAGGCTACAACAATGAACGACAGTCATTGTTTCGCTCAGAAACTTTTGTCATTCCCAACTCCTTGGCGATAATGTGCTCAATCCTCTCATGAGAGATGCCTACAACACTGGCAATATGTCCAGTGGCCGATCGTTGAAAAACCGTCACCATGTCATGTTTTTTTTAATGGTTGCTGTTGATGGCCTTCCAGGTCGAGTGTCCACTTAAAGGCTTTCTCTGCCACGCGTAAATTCCACAGCCCACTTCTTTACTGTGGAAAAGGAAGGGACATCCTCCCCTTAAGTGGATTCCATGTCGGCATGCATCTGTATTGGGGTTAGTCATTTCAGTTGCAGATACTTGATGACTGCCCTATAGACAGTTTTGTCCATTTCTGGTGATTTCAATGGGTAGGTTCACAAGATGATCTGGTACGAAGACAATAATAACACCACAGTTGCAGTTCTTCTTATGTCTATGTCAATGATTCATTCAATGATTGTATTTGTTGTTCCACCCCTATTGATCTACCCTTTTCAGGCTTATGACGTATCAGCCAGCCGCCGTAACAGGCGCTAAGGGAATGGAGCGCCATTGGATTAGAGTTTCTGCGCCTCCACGCAAATGCAAATATGCATCACGTGGCTTCTAATACAGAAGAATAATAAGATAACCGCTGTGCCTGTTCATTTTGTTAAGAACGTCCTAGTGTTCTGCTTCGACTGGGCAGCGGCAAGATGGCCTACTCTTATATCGAATTCCAACTGCCAAGGGATCTTTTACGTGCACGCTAATGTATACACGGAACCTCGATTTTTCTTTCCATCCGAACGACTAGACCACGTCGGGAAATCCCGATGAACTTTTTCGGCCAATGCAGGGACTTAACCACCGTGACTCCCATTTTGTTCAGAACAGTAGGATGTTAAAACACTTGTATGTTAACTTTGTAATCTAATTATGACTTATTTATATTTTAGGATTTTGACCCGGACGAAGATACTGATTGCTTATACTGATGTTATTTTGATACTGGTACAGCTATAAAGGTTTCTGTCTGTTAATCTGGCTAATTGAAGCATTATATATATCTTGCCAACAAAACATGTTCGATAAACACCTCACTGTTTCAATTAATTATCACTAATAACGAGTGCATCTTACCCATAACCATGAAATTCCAAAAAACACATTATATTCAAATATATATGCTAATTATTTCCTATTTAAGCCAATATTATATCGTTCACTATTATTATATGTATATTTTTCTCTATAAAGTCTCATCTTAAAATAATAAGTTAATACGACTGGATAATTTTGTTTATAAATAATATTATTGTCATGGAGTTAAGTCTCGATCAGTAGCACGAGTTTTACAATAGGTAGCTACCGCTACTAGGCTGGAAGATTAATAATTCCATTTTTATAAATAAAATAAATCATTATCCAGGGGCGGATCCAGGATTTTTTCAGAAAGGGGAGGGAGGACGTGATTCCCCCACTTGGAAGTGCGAATCCCGGCCCTCGGTTTCGGAGTAAATTACGACAGGTATCACTACCATGTTTAAGTATTTTTGTTCTCCTTTCCCGCAAATTGTTCACCATCGCAAAAAATAGTGTGTGTGGGGAGGGGGGGGGGGCGTGCGCCTGTTATCCTCCAGTTTTTAAAGACTCTAGTAGTACGTTATTTTTACCATGTACAATGTCTCATCTACTCATTTTATTATTATCCACCCACTGAATAAATGTGATGCGCAATGCTAGGTTTCCACTGTCGTGCGATGCGTTACGTTACGATAAGATTGTCCCTATGGAGGAGAACGCTAGACCGGAGACGCTCCGGCACATTTTAACACATATTATGACGTCATAATATGTGGATTGTGGGTAAGGGTTAGGACCATCAGATGTTGTCAAAGTTTCGAGATGTAAACAGGGCTAGCGCTAACCCTAACCCTGGACCAATCCTAACTCTTACCCCTAACTCACGCTATTGAGTCCACGATCTGGTACGTGCAGATACGTTCGGATACGTTTCGATACGATCAACGCGAGTGCTACGACTGACCTCAATATATGATAAGACCTGATAGGACCTCCACGATCACTCCACGATTAAAACCACGATATCAGTCGCAGCACGAATCGTGATAGTGGGAACCTAGCATTATATATTATCATCCTAAAGTAAATAATAAGCCCCAATCGATTTCTTCATCAACTGAACAAATTATGTCCTAAGCTGATGACAGTCACTTAGGTTTAAAATATAACTATACCTGTCAGTTAGGCCACGCCAATTTGAAGTTCTGTTATCCCTTTCTTTCTTATTTCATCGGGTAAAAGACAAATTGTCTGCTCTATTCAAAAGGTTTTAGTTGCACGTTAAAGACTCAATACCACTCTTGTTGTAACTGAATAATATGTCCCAATCTTTATTCTGGTCAACAAATTGTACTATTTTACAATATTCCAATTAATTGATGATACAAATTTCATTTTAACACACCTAATTTAAAAAATTGGACAAAATTCAACTAAAAGATTTGAAAAGCCTAACGTAAACCTTTTCAAATGTGACATGGATTTAAAAATATTTTTGAACCCTCTGGACAAGTAAAATAGGATTTAATGGATAATTTACACAACAGGTAGGACACTAACACATCTAGTACTTAGAATATTTTTTATTTTCTGGAGCTGTCAAGCCTGCAAGAGTGTTATTGTCCCTTTAAGTGAGAAATTTTAAACTAAGCATCTTTCATGTGATTCAAATGACTATTTTTATATGAAGGCCCCGGAGAACTGAATATTAAATTGAACTGGCCTTAGATATGGCTACATTAGAATCCGGGTTTAGCTTTCGCTTATTGCCATTTTTTTTTTCATTTGGCATTGAAGACGGGTATTAAATTATCATGGTTTGTTGGAGTTTTCACAGGCAGTACTTATTGTTATAAATTAAAATATACATAAACGCTTTCAGAATAAATCTTTTAATTATTAATTATAAATATTTCAATTAACGTTGATTTCCTTGCAGGTTAAAAAACTAAATCAAATACATAAATGGTTAAATTTACTATTATTTAATCGCGTTTATTCGATCATTTATAAAACTGATATAGTCGACCGAGTTCTAATCTTAGCTCACAGCAGTAATATAATTAAATCACTTGTACTTCATCCAAGTCACCCAATGTTTCGCCACGTGATCTATCTACGCGTTTTCGCCGGTTACACGGAAAAGTTACCTTTATAAATTCGCATTAGAGCGACCTTTTTCGCCGGCTAAAACGCGTACATGGAAAACTGGTCTTAGGGTATTTACATGTTTTAACTTCTATCAACAATAACAGGAAATTGACATTACACTGACTTTACATTTACTCCCCCCCCCCTCTCTCTTCCTCTCTCTCTGTAGAAAATAATATAAATCGGAACCAATTAGTGTTCTCTCCTTGTGATCCATATCGCCCCAGGGTCAAGTGAAGTTACATTTCTTGCACCTTGGCCATCGTTTCACGTGGTTATATTAGTTATTGTTATGTTGTAATAAATAAATACTGTGTATAAATAAATTATTAAAAGGTAAACAAACACCAACATGGCTTTGTTTTTATGAAATGAAATCGGGTTTATCGTCCTAATGTTCTGCGCCGGCATTGTTTATATGAACATGATCAAGTAATCAGTAAGCGATCACGTGGCTAAGACGCTGGCTCGCTAGCCTGGAGGTCGGGTGTTCGATCCCTGCATTGGCCGAGAAAGTTCATCCAGATTTTCCGACGTAGTTCCCTCTTGTCAGTGATGCAGGACGGAAGGCCTGACAAGGACAACTGTCTAGTTCTTCGGAAGAGACGAAAAACCGAGGTCCCGTGTATACATTGGAATGCACGTAAAAGATCCCTTGGCAGTTGGAAATCGATATACGAGTAGGCGATAGTGCCGCTGCCCGGGCAAAATTTCCCCCATAGCACACTGTATGGCGTATGCCCGTCTTCATTAGCCCAGCATAGGAGCAGAACAGTAGGACGTTAAACCCCATTTCATTTAATTTCATTTCAAGTAATCAGTAACACCAATCTAAAGGAATATAATAGAGTTATCCTTCCTTGCGTCGTTGGATGATACAGACAGTAAAATGTACAGAAAAAAATACATAATTTGTCGAGAGTCGTGGTGGCTCAGTAAGACGCTTGCCCGGTAAACAGGCGGTCTCGGGTTCGCTCCCGGTGTTGGCCCGAGATAGTTTCGATGCATTTTACGGCGTGGGCCTCCTTCGCTGTGATGCAGGACGGGAGGGCCTGGTCCTTTGGACGGTGTGCAGTTGTCATTCAAAGTCAGCGATGAGACAAGACCCCAAAACCCCGAGCAGTCCAAGAGACTTTGACCATTTATTATACAATGCGAGACACCCTGGTCGTGAAGGATTCAATCAGCGTCAGATACTCTGATCATAAGTATAACACAAACGATCGCTGTGAGCAAGAGTAGTAAAGACCACCAAACACGACAAACATCACCCCGCATGGTCTATGATAAATTTCAGTTTAGGAGCCTAACTCATGTGCACATGCGCTATATGCAGGGGGTGGGGTTTTTTGCATGCTCAAAGCCAAAATTTACCATCCCGAATTCAATTTCTCCTATCTCGGTATTCGACATGATTTCCTCTGCATAGCAAGTCTCTCTCACCCCCTTTCTCCCCTATTGCATAGCTGTTTTTGTTGATTTGTTTGGGGTCTAGAACAGAAGAAGAGGGTTTGAATTAACATAATATTCTTTCGGTTTGGGTAAATATTGCTGATTTAGAGGCGGAAGGATAACAGCGTTAACAAGTTGGCCAGGGAGATCAGTCCAGGCTACTTCAAGTTTGTGTATCTCAAAATTTCAATGTCAAACCTCATACAAATTTTGCAGCAAAGGCATGCCCATTTGTTGCTCTGTCTGCAGTGAAAAGCATTCATCCCAACTAAAATTTGGGGAAAAGTTGGTTCCCGGCAAAGAGAACAGAATTAATACTGAGGAATGAATTGTGGCCAGCCCCCAAAGGTAAACCCTGATCAACTCCCTTTAACCTGAACCACTTAAATCTATGAAAGCGCCCCAACCTTTTCCCCAAAAAGAGCAGCAGTTTTTTTATGTAGTTGCATACAGCACCCTACCAGACCCGATGGGATGAATGTTTGTATCCAAGAACAGAAGAACCCAACACATCGATTGGAGAGTGAATAAGTTAATCTTTAATATACAAATAAAAAAAAAGGACATTAACTAACTTAAAATCGAGATTAAATTCTTCCACTAGTTCAAGATGCATTATGTAAGAGCTAAATCTGACTATTGCAGAGCTTTCTTTTCGCCTGAAATGTTATACAAATCTTTAATTAGACATTCATTCACATGCCAACGCCATGCTCAGCTCCCTAGGTCGTCGGATGATTGTGATTTTGAGCGGATTGAAACACGATTAACATTTAGTAATTTAGTTCAAAAGTGGATAATCGAGACTGTTTATTATCGTTACAGCGGTAGCAATGAACAAAATCACTAAAAATGAAGTAATTTAACTGATATTTTCAATACATTGTATATTCCCTTTCCATTATCTATTTCTAAACTATAACTATTATATCAAAATTGTCAGGTCTGTATCTAAAAAATACATAAATAATATAATAGAATCTAGAAGTAAAAGAATCAACATTACAGGTAATATAAAACGAATTTAAATAAGCCCGCCGCCATTTTGTTGAATCCAAGCCGGGACAGTATCAAGAATTGATATTTCGATTTTGTTTTCTTAATTAAATGTTAATTTATCAATTCGAGTACAAATTAGCGATAATTAAGCCTAAGAAAATGTATATTTCAGTGACAACCATTGGCGCATGATACTTTAATAGAATGTAAAAATCGCCTGTCCAACCTCGTGAGTTTTCTCCGGGTCCTCCGATTTCCTCCCATTGCTAACGACCCCTACGCGCAAGCGAATTCTTGAAATAAAAAAAAATTAAAACCTTATGTTAGTCCAGAATTGACCTAGTTTGTGTCGAGTGGACGTTAAACTCTCTCTCTCTCTCTCAGAATGTAAAAACCCGGTTCAACAGAATAGGCAATATCATAAATCTTAACAATACCAGCTGCCTTAAAATCAAGAAACATAAGACTATTACCATTATACAAAATATAAAACAGTGGTAGATTTAAAATATCATCTAAAATATTGTTTGATATATACTTATTGCCAAGCAATAAGCAACGTCCTATAAAAATCTAGAGTAAAAAGTTGAAAATCACAAGGGGAAAATTCTAATCTAAAAGGGTGTTTTTGTAGTTGAAACCTATAACATTATTGTATATATTGACGTTTAAATATAACAATCAGATACAATGTAATTTATTGTATATAAATTGATGGTTGACATAAAATATAACAGTTAGATATAATGCAGATAATATACATTGATGGCTGAAACATAACAATCAGATACAATGTATAATATAGATTATTGTATATAAATTGATGGTTGACATTAAACATAACAGTCAGATACAATGTATACTAATATATATATATATATAAATTGAATGCTAACAGAAACGAGATTTCAATCGATTGGCATTATTTTTTTCGAATTGAGATAATTCAACACCGGAAGGTTCAATCAAGTATCCCCGTTATAAAGTTTTCAAATATAATTCAATTATTGGCATTAATGAGAAGGGGATTCGATTGGCAGTCCGGGGCTGCTATCGAATGACATGGAATTCAGCTCCGTCAAACTGAGGTGGTGGCAGTAAAATGGCGATGTTATTCAAGATGATTATGTTTCAGCTGTTATGATTGGCTGAGAGATTATCCATTATTATAATATAGTAGTTATCATCTTATCCTTATTTCTAGTCTGGGGGATTGGATGACAGAATGATTAGCACGTGCGCGCTGTATCATAAGGTCTGTCATTGAGTCAAATGGTTTCAATTCCCTGGTTGTACGTGACAAGGAGTAGGGTCGCCTGTCCAACCTCGTGGGTTTCCTCTGGGTCCTCAGGTCTCCTCCCACTGCTAATGACCCTAGGTCATTTCGGGACTAACATATGGTTCAATTTTATTTCAATAATTCGCTTGCGCATAGGGGTCTTTAGCAGTGGGAGCTAACCCGAGGACCCAGAGTAAACCCCTGAGGTTGGACAGGCGACTCTACGCCCCGACTCCTTGTCACGTACAACCAGGGAATTGCCAGTTGACTCAATGACAGACTTAATGATTCAGCGCGCACGCGCTAACAATTCGGCCATCCAATCCCCAAGACTTTAATAAAGTTAATTAGTCCCTTTTATCTTGTTATTGTATATGATAACTCCATTGTGCCGCAGGCCTTTGATGTTATTGTTGCCATGTATGGTATCAATTTGTAGATTTGTCTATATATAGTTGCTTCCCATTTTGTTATATTGTATTAGCTTGATAAATTTGAGAGAATATCCTCCTTAGAAACGTCGCCTAAATATATCTTAAGCTGTATGCAATAAGTATGTGTAAGAGTTTATTCATTTTGGGGTTCAGAGAAGTCAATTCCGGGACGTTTCAATCGAGTATCCCTAGTAGAATAAAAGTAGCCTGATAATTAACGACTCTTAATTTCGGTTACATTATTAATGCTTACTTGAATTGTAAAGTGCTTATTATCATCAATAAATCCACTGCAAGGATTACTGAAATATGACCAGTCAATAACATCAATATAACACTCCGACAACCGAACAGGTTCAACAGTCCCAATGCATTGCTTAATGACAGATTTGCTATCGGCCGTTATATTTATAAGTTTATATGTGACGTCAGCTTTACATGACGTAATACGTTTATCATCTGTGTCAGCCAGTTTCAATCTAATACGTAATGATTTTGACAATTTATATGCACCAATACTCCATGTAAAACCTGACACGCCATGTCGTTTACCATAATACCATCTATCAAAAACATCATCCAGAAGAAAAGTATCTTCAAACATATTTTGATGGCAACTTACAACTTTACCAACCATATTCTGTTTACAATATGAAATTTTACCAAGTTGATTCGTTAACAAAGTTGCATCTATCTCTGGTGCTTGAAACTTTGAATATCTTACATCAGGTATATACATTTTGCTACAACTTTCATCTTTCTCCTGCCGAACTTTAGGCAATCTCTGTAAAGCCTGAACAATGGATGAATCTTCCAAAACATTCTTTGAGTATTTCACACTAGCTTTTAATTCTTCTGTTAGACTTTTAATTTCCTCCATAGATTTTCTGATTTTTATTTCTTCCTGTTCACTAGTTTTCTGCATTCTGTTTTTAGCATTTTCTCCAACTTTATGAAATTCTGAGCAGACTTTCTCAACCTGTGCATCTACTTTATCACATTCAGTTTTTGTACTTATTTTCACTTCAATCAATTTCCTATTTAAATTATCATAATCTAACTGAAAATTAGTAATTTGCATTTCTAAATCGTTATTAAGCACTCTTAAGTCTTCTCTGATACTTTGTCTGACCTGTTCCTTCTGAATATCTAAACAATTATGTCGGTTATGATCGGCCACGAAACATTTCAAACAAACTGCTAGCCAGCAATCTTTACAATACATGTCTACTTGTTTTTCTACGTGGTTAGGACATAAATCGTTTCGATTTGTGACGGGGGTGGCTTTGGTGTTTTCCTTCATTGATTTGTTTGGTAGTCGGCAGATTTGTTTTTCGTCATATCGACAAACAAAATGATCTTTACAAGATTTTAACTTATCATGGGTCGTTTTGCAAGATTGGCATAAATATTGATCACAGTCTCTACAATAAAATTTAGATGTATATTCACTACACACATCACACTGTGGAATATTACGTGCAGAATTATCATCGGTGTTTAGTTGGGGTCTAAATTGTTGTACACCACCATCGCGATCTTTTATTATACAACGACATAATGGGCAAAGAAGCTCTTCGTTAATGGAGAATTTGTTCACATAATCCTTAAAACAGATGAAGCAGAACGAATGCCGACAGTCGAGTATAACAGGCTGATGAAAGTCATTTAAACAAATGCTACATACTTCCTTGTCTGTTTGTTCAGCCATATTGATTTACTTTTTATTACTCTAATGAAACTGGACAAAATCAAACGGATATCGAGGCAGGCAGCTTAAAAATAACAGAGTTTAAAACACAACAGTCCATTCTCTTTCAACAACAAAGTCTACTTAAGAAAATCATCTAACAAAAAAATCTCTAATACACACCCTCCAGTCGTCCGGTGAACTTTATCTTGCATTGACCCCAGAGTCAGAGATTACGTGATTTCCAAATGCGACTCTTGAAAAGAAAACAAATCCCAGCTGCATATGATACGGGGTGATATGGAAGAGCAAGTTACGTTGATATTGTCACACGACCGACCCAATTCATCAGGATTCATAAATAACTCTGGTTTGGTGATATCCCTGTGAAGTTCAGTCATTGACAAATGTCACTGAAAAATAAAGAAGTATACATTTTAACTTATGTTTTTAAATATCATATTGATAAACGTATGACGACAACAACAGTGACCTATTGAGTGTCCATCTAATGGAGTGTCTCCACCAAACAAGAGAAAGGAAATTAATTGCGAAAACTATACTCAGCCAAATTAAAAACTTGACACTGATGAATTTCAACAAATTTTTTTTTTCTGGTAAGTCAAATAAATTTTAAAGTGTTTCTAACGATAGTAAGTAGTAAGAAGCCTTTAATTTCATAAAATTGTAAAGTCACGTGGATCACGTGACTTTTGAGCATATAAAGATGAAAAACCTGAAAAACACGTGCAAACACCAACTCGTGAGGTCAATCGATGCAAGTTTGCTTAAACTGAACACGCACACGTAACTTGAACTGGAAAAACAAATTAAAATTGTTATTTTCATCTTTGTTAGAAAATGCCGCGCCTTTCAAATGTAGAACGTCTACGTGCTATAGGTAGGCTCTATGCTGGTCAGTCTGTGGTCACTGTTGCATGAGCAATTAATTGTTCACGCCAGACAATAATTAATCTTAGAATGAGAGTGCTTCAAACTGGAACTATTGCCGACCGCCCAAGGGCGGGAGCGCCACGTGTGGCGTCACTCCAGGAGGATCAAGCAATACGATTACGTCATCTTAGAAACAGATTTGTCACTGCAACCTCCACAAGTAGAGAGATGTTTGGTGGAAGGGGGCCCTATAATGGACCAATATTGACACCTCTTCATCGCCATAACCGAGTTGTGTGGGCCACAAGACACATAAGATTTACTCAAAGACAGTGGAATTCGGTTGTCTTTAGTGACGAATCTCGATTCACTTTGAGATTTGCCGATGGCAGGGCCCGATTGTACCGCAGACGAGGTGAATGTTATGCGTCAGAGAAGTTGACCGATTTGGTGGCGGCAGCGTCATGGTTGGGGTTCTTTTTGTGCACATGGACGTTCTCCTCTTGTTTTTGTCCAAGGGAACTTAAATGCTGTCAAGTATGTTCTTCTTCCGTTTATGCAGAGATATGGGCCTGGACTAACGTTTCAACAAGACAATGCTCGACCCCATACAGCAATTGCTACCCAGAATTTTTTAAGAAATGCCGGTGTCCAAGTCCTGGATTGGCCGTCGCTTAGCCCCCGACCTTAATCCTATTGAACACATCTGGGACGAACTGGGTCGACGTGTTCGTCAGCAAGTGAATCCACCACTGACGTTGCAGGACCTTCAACATGCTCTTGCTGAGCAGTGGCGACGTCTTCCTCGGGTAGTGTTTACTAATGTTCTGAGATCCATGAGAAGACGTTGTGTGGCAGTACGAGACGCTAGAGGAGGCCACAACCGTTACTAAACACTTTATTCCGATTCTTCTCCAAGTCTGTGAATTTCATTTTGGGGGGTACTGTGACACCACGAACGTTATGAATGTCAAGGACTTTCGGCGAGACGTATTCTTGCTTTCTGTTGATGTCAAGGTCGTCCGTGCACAACATAACACTAAAACAGTTGCTTTAAACCAAATATTAAAAATCTAGTCCCAAAAATCCCGAGTGTCAAATTTTTAATTTGGCTGAGTATATATGCTGTTTGGTCAGATAATGCGAAAGTAGAAGCGCCAATTATTAAAATCTAAGTCGGCCATATGAGAATACTGAATATAATTCTCCGACTATAATTCAAAATCCTGAATTTCTAACGATGGGTGTCATCATGTTAGCAAATATTTACTGAATTTTATTCATTATCAGCGGCTTTACTTTCAATCTATATTTCGTTCCGTTTTTTATACTTTCGATGACCTCTACTACACGAATATCTGACCGGTTGTAGTTGAAGGTCGCGTCAGAGGTCATACGAGCGGCTTTTGACCCTATCAGTGTTAATGTTTCTAGTGGGTTACCTACAGTTCCGTGCACCTCTGCCACACCACAAACTCGTCGTAACAGACTGTTTCATTGGCTAATCGCTCACATCATCGAAAACGCGGGTTATATAACAACTCTTCCAGATCCTAGTGTAGTAAAGACAAGTAAAACGAAATTTTGAACTATATAAAACGAAACGAAATCTGATCTGTGTTTTAATCAATCAGAATGCTTTACTTTGTACATGCGAGGTGAAGTGGAAAAAAAATAACCAGATCTGGTCACAGGAACATGGGACAGTACCGCCTTTAGGTGTCATGGGTGTTAAGGGAGCTAAATGGGTAAGACGCTGGCTCGTTAGACTGGAGGTCGGGTGTTCGATCCCTGCATTGGCCGAGAAAGTTTATCGGGATTTTCCGGCGTGGTACCCCAGTTGACAGTTGGAATTCGGCATAAGAGTAGGCCGTAGTGCCGTTGTCTGGGAAAAATTTCCCCCATTGCACACTGTATGGCGCATGCCCGTCTCCATTGGCCCAGTTCGGAGCAGAACAGTAGGACGTTAAACCTCATTTCATTTCATTTTCCACTTCTTTTATATTTGGCGCTAAGTTATACCATCACTACATGACTGTATTAATCGTTCAAATCTTGATACAAGCGTTAAAATGTACATAGGTGCCCGTTTAGGGTTATTTATTAAGAAAATCACATTAGTCAATTGGATTTTCAAAATGGCCGTCATTTTCAAGGAGGCTCATATTTTCAAAATTTCTTTCACAAACTTTTACCCACTGGACAGTCTAGATGTCACAATGCGTATTAATGAAACTTAAAATATATGTTTATTTGGTGTACATCGAACCACAACAGCTGATGCTGGTGCATAATTGTTAAATATGCCAGTAGTTTGTGGACCCTCCAGATGGCACTCTGTAACTTATATGTTAAAGATCAAAAGATCTGGGGAGAGTTCGATTGTGATCTGTATCAAACTCCTTGAGTTATGAGGTGCCGTCGGAGGGCCGTAACTAGCTCTGAGCAACGAGGGGGTGAAAGTGTTCTCAGGGGTGGTGGTGTAAAATTGACAATGTATATCTATAGTCTACAATATTTTCAAAAAGGGGGGGGGGGGCAAAACTCTCCTGCGCCCCCCCCCCCCGCCAGTTACGGGCCTGTGCCGCCGTAGGCCAGTAAATAAAGTGACTATAAAGACGTTGGCACTGGTCTCAATTGGCTTGCTAAACTGATCCCATGATTGATCTCGGTTTTGTCTGAGAAATATCATCGGGATTCCCCGACGTGCCCCCACTTGGCAGTGAGATTTCGATATAATAGTAGGACGCAGCGCCTTGCCCGGGAAAAAAACGCCTTGCCCGGGAAAAAAACGCAACGCCGCTGTCCGGGCAGAATTTCCCATATGGCACACTGTATGACGGAGCAGTACAGTAGGATGTTAAACCCCATTTTATTTCATTTAATTTCTTGAGTTATGCCCCTTGCGCAAAATATGAATTGTACAAAGTGTATGAACCCTCTAGCCAAGAACCCACAAATTGGATAAATTATATGTTAAGGATCAATAACATAGGATAATTCTATAGCAAACAAACGGTTGCCATGCCAATATTTTGGAGGAGATTGGCGGAGAATAGGGAAAATCAGTGGGGCACATACTCTCATTGTCCCCCAAAAAATCCGTTAAAGATGCATTATGTAAGAGCTAAATCTGCCTATTGTACATGTAGGTGTTTATTTTGACCATAGGTGTGATATGAATTATTGGGAGTCAAGGTGGCTAGGAGGTTAAGACGCCGGCTCGCTAGCCTGGAGGTCAGGTGTTCGATCCCTGCATTGGCCGAGAAAGTTCATCTGGATTTTCCGACGTGGTTTCCCCTTGTCAGTGGTGCACAACGGAGGGCCTGACAAGGACAGCTGTCTAGTCCTTCGGATGAGACGAAAAACCGAGGTCCCGTGTATACATTGGAATGCACGTAAAAGATCCCTTGGCAGTTGGAATTCGATATAAGAGTAGGCGATAGTGCCGCTGCCCGGGCAAAATTTCTCTCATAGCACACTGTATGGCGTATGCCCGTCTTCATTAGCCCAGTATAGGAGCAGAACAGTAGGACGTTAAACCCCATTCCATTTCATTTTATATGAATTATTAATTAGACATTTATGTACACGGCTCTCTAGACCACCTGGTGGTTGACATTTTGAAACACGATCGTCATGTAAAGATACATTATGTAAGATTTAGATAAAGAGTTAGTCATTCTTGCTATAATAGTTCCAAAATAGATAATGTAAAATGAATAATTTGAAAATTTTAGCTTAAATCAAAATATGGATGAACTGTTCTAATCTATTTAATATCGGAGCAATCTGATGCCATCGAGAGTTGATTATGGCCTGGATCAGTTAATTAATGTCTAATTAATAATTTAGATAACATTTCAGGCCTAATGAAAGACGTGCAATAGGCAGATTTAGCTCTTGCATAATGTATGTTTAATAATTTAATTCAAAAATGGATAATCGAAACTTTGGGGTTTATCGTAACAATGATACTTGACAATCGATACTATGTTGTGAAACTTTTAAAGACTGATAACTTAACTCAGAAAAAGGAATTTTAATGAAATTTTTTTATATATTTTCAATAATCTATTTTTAAAGATGCATTATGTATGATTTAGATAAACCTGAATGTCCGATGCACACTAAATTAAAACTTATCCAGGATCTTTTGATCCTTGACATACAACACCAACTGTTGCCCATGAAGGGTCCACAGCATTCGTATATATTTAACATGTTGCGTAAAAGTCAGAGAGAACCCAAATCTTGGATATATCTCACGTGGGTAGACAGCCTTTGTATACGTATGCTTTTTCACTGTTTGCGTAAATAGGAGCGTCCATTTTGACGGGATATTTCCGCTCGATTTACACGAAATTCTAACCCAATCTGCACGATGCAACTGTGATATATTTGAACGGTTTTAAAGTCACATAAAAATTGTGAGAGGAAACCGAAGGACCCAGAGAAAACCCACGAGGTTAGACAGGCGAATCTACTCCTTGTCAGGTACTACCGGAGAATCGAAACCACGCCAGTTGACTCAATGACAGATCTTATGATACAACGTGCATATGTGCTAACCATTCGGCCATCCCCCCAGTGGCGGCGCCAGCCGTCGGTGATTGGAGGGGCAAAGCTGGGGCAAAGTCCAGGGTTAAGGGGGCAAAGGCACGAGCTTTAACTAGGGGTAGGGGGCCTCCCCCAGAAAATTGTGAAAAACAGGTTGCCGGAAATGCAGCCTGGCAGTATTTCAGGCACTGGTCGATGAGGTAAAGTGTCAAACGAACGGACTTGAGAATCACGACGAAGCCCACTCAAAAGCGTCAAAGTAGGGAGTCCTCCCCCAGAAATGCTGTCTTACAGTATTCTGTGGGGCACCGATCGTCGAGATAAATAGATCTGACCAGATACCGTCCATCGCCTGATCACTAGTTTATCCGACTAAAGAACAAAATCTCAAACGAACGGACTTGCGAACCTCAACGAATTCCCCTTGTGAGCACCAAAGTAGCGAGTCCATTGGGGACCTCGCCAAGAAAATTTTGAAAAATAGACTGTCGGAAATGCTCTACAACATGCAAGTTTATGACTGTTGTTTTTTTTTTTAAAAATCAACTTCATAGGGCTTTGTCAGAGTAACACAAGCTGTGACAGGTCTTGTAATTGAAAAAATATTTATAAATACAATATTATGTGATATCAATATAATTTTTAGTTCATCTGATTTAACATTTCGTGTTACTCTGCCAAAGCCCTATGAAGTTGATTTAAAAAAAAAAAAACATTGTTTAAATCACAAAAATTAGGCAATTTTTATCATTTTAAAATTGCTTACATGAAAAGCTACGGTACTATTAAAAATTAGGCAAATTTTATTCTTTAGCTCCCATTTTAAAATTGCTTACATGAAAAGCTACTAAAATGGCCGAATGGTTAACACATAATAAGGAGTAGGGTCGTCTCACGCGTCAGTGAAACGTCTATACATATTCGGCGAATATCGGTAGAATCCCTCAACCCCAGCAACAAAAAGAACGAGGTCTGTCGAATGCGTCTATTTGTGTGACGTCAGCGCATGGCGGCAGTGACAAAATGAAAATGGACGAAAACGATGTAAATATTGGAAACAAGTGGCGATATCGTTTTATGGGAGTATTTATGCAAATCAAAACGACTAGATTGAAGAAAAAACATATCTGAGTGAATTGACAGAGGTTTGGTTCCCTGACATTACGAATTGTTGAAAAAAAACGAGCCGAAGCGAGAGCAGATAAGATCGAGTTTTCAACAGGCATTGCATTCCTGTTGTTTATTTTATTATATATTGTCTGGTACGACATGGTGTATGCATATATACGGAAAGAAGGTCAGATTCCTGTGGCAGGACAGAGGGCACGACAAGAATAGCTGTCTAGTCGTCCGCATGGGACGAAATATCGAGGTCCCGCGTACACATTGGCATGCACGTACACGACCCCTTGACGGTTGGAATTCGATATAAGAGTAGACAATAGTGCCGCTGTGCGGGCAAAATTTCCCTCATGACACACTGTATGGCGTATGTCCGTCGTCATTAGCCCAGTCGGCATGGTTTCCGCTTGTCACTTAAGCACGACGTAGGGCCTGGTAAGGACCGCAGTCTAGTCGTTCGGATGGAACGAAAAGAAAAAAGGTCCAGTGTACATCTTAGCGTTCACATTAAAGAGATCCCTGCATTGGCCGAGAAAGTTCATCGGGATTTTCCGACGTGGTTTCCCCTTGTCAGTGGTGCAGAACGGAGGGCCTGACAAGGACAGCTGTCTAGTCCTTCGAATGATACGAAAAACCGTGGTCCCGTGTATACATTGGAATGCACGTTGGAATTCGACATAAGAGTAGGCGATAGTGCCGCTGCCCGGGCAAACTTTCCCTCATAGCACACTGTATGGCGTATGCCCGTCTTCATTATCCAAGTATAGGAGCAGAATAGTAGGACGTTAAACCCCATTTCATTTCATTTCACATTAAAAAACCATTGCCAGTTGGAATTAAATATTTGTCCTGCCGTCAGGGCAAAATATACAGCATAGTACACTTCATGGCGCATGCCCGTCTACATTATCCTAGTTGGCGTATAAAAGTCGGGCTTTAAACTCCATTCATTATCGTAAATCGCGTTCCAATGCTGTTTACATTTTTAACACTCGGTATACCGAAGAACTCAGAATGCACGCGCCTCTTATATCTACATCAATGTAATATGACTGACTGACTTTGATCTGGCGTTCTCATTGATCCAGGTCAGAACGAACTATAAATCCAGCAAGTAACCCAATATAACACACCATGTCGAGATAGGTGAAGTAAAAACGACTTTGAAAAAACACTAGATTTTGTCTTCCACCAAAACCGTCTACTAAATCACTAAGAAATCCACCCAATAACTCATTCATTAATACAAACCTCTCTACTAGTCAACATTCCAGTCTGCCACGATCGCATCGATTAGTTCTCTTACCTTGACCTTTGGGGGTCGAATATCACGTGATTTCCCAACAGCTGAAACGTAAACAAATATATCCAACGGATATTTGAAATATTTCTGCTATACCTTTTCGAAATTATTGGCGTCATTGTGAATTTGTCCTAAAAATTGTGGTCGGGGTAAGCGTTATATCAACGTTTCTCAGAATCTGAGAAAAATATTACTTTGATATATTATTTCATTCGCGATGGAAGGGAGGTAACTCTTTTTAACAATCTCAACTGGATGCAGACCACCCTTAATTTCCCCCATTGAATTTGGTGATAATTCTGGTCTATTTGCGCCGCTCCTAGTTTTCCCGTTCACTGGCCACGAACTAGGCAATTTTGGGACTAGCAAATGGTAATGTGTATGTATGGACATCTTAACAAAGTAAATACATTCCACCCAGTCTTTAGCATTGATGATTTTGTTTTACCAGAGAGGAATAATGAGGTTTATGGTCCATACGAAACAAAGTCATTTTCCGAAAAAAAACATATGGAAGGTAACCCACCATAAATAAATATCTCCAAATATCTCGGCAACTAGGCCACAATATTTATATATATGCCAAGCCTCAAATCAGTTTCACACAATTATAGTCACTAAATAAACGATCATGTTGTACTTAATAAGCTATGACCATTAATCATCTATAAATAATAGACTGAAAACTGGTCCCAAGTGCCGTCCATAACATCCAGACACCTTGAGTAAAAGATAGGTTACGTGCCCTTGTTTTGAAATTAGTCTCGCTTAACCAGTCTATCGACCATATTACGTCTGATTGACAGGTCGGGATAATCAAGACTACTTTTTTTACGAAACATAACAGAAAGCTAGAACAAGAAATTGAATTTAGAAATAAGCACTTTAGCCAACTCAACAATTGTTTTAAGAAACTTATAAAGGTAAAATGAAACTACTGTTAGTATCATGTTCCTGCTAACGAAAGTGATTCAGAGATATTATTTGTAATAAACCAAAAGATGCCGCTCTTAAAGGTACAGTCAATGATAAAGCAATTTTTTAAAAAAACAAAAAACGTAATTTCTAAAGCTGCTGTAATAACCAAGAAGATAAATTTACTGCTATTCAAAATCGTCAACAATAGATTTTTTACGGCTGTAATAATTGATATATTTGTAGAGAATTGCACGTGCCATGGCTATTTATCGACTCAAAGAGAGTGCGGGGTAGTCAGAAATCAGTTCGAGACACGCAACTGAAGCGTGCTCATTTAGCCGTGTCGAGACCAACTTTCTGTAGAGTGCACGGGTCACCCTACATATGGTACAATTTTATTTCAATTATTCGCTTGTGCGTAAAAGAAATTCCAACACACATTATGTCACGTACAAGCTACTTATTTATCTACTGAATATACCGAAGACATACGCATAAGAATATGAAAAAATAACCACAAAATAAGTTTTGGCTTATACAGGCGTCAACATTATATGCAAATAATCATGCCTGATGAGAGGGACTTTACTCAGCAAACATGTCGGGTAGATACTACAGTAATAAAATTCTAATCTCTCCTAAAAACACTATTTATAAATGTATCATAAATACTTTCCCTGATTACTATACTAAACAAATTATACACGAATTGTTACCCTTTCCTTCAGCTATGGCGAATAGCCGTCATCTTCGATTTTCGAATTGCTGATTTGTGCCAATTTTGGTACTTGTATTCACATCTGAATGATGTCTCTGGTATTATACAGTTATCCGCTGCACTTTATCAACCATGTTCGCATTTAAAAACAATATTACCCAGTTTTCCTACTGAAAACATCGACCATATGTGCATTAAAAATATATATAACATCGAGGTCCCGTGTACACATTAACGTGCACCAAAACAGTATACTAAATTACTAAGAAATCCACCCAAATAACTCATTCTTTAATACAAACCTCTCTAGTCAACATTCCAGTCTGCCACGATCGCATTGATTAATTTATCTTACCTTGACCTCTGGGGGTCATATATCTCGTGATTCACCAACCGCTGAAACGTAAACAAACTATATCCAACGGATATTTGAACAATTTCTGCTATCCGTTTTCGTAATTATTGCGCGCCAATGTGAATTTGCCTGAAAAATTGTGATCGGAGTAAGCGTGTGTACACTTTCTACGGTTTCTCAGAATCTGAGAAATATTGCTTAGTGTGAAATATTTGTATCGCGATTAATGGGAGATAACTCTTTTTACCATTCCTCAACTGGGTACAGACCACAATTAATTTCCCCATTGAATTTGGTGATAATACTGGTCTATTTGCGCCGCTCCCATTTTTCCCAAATTACTCTTGGACTATTAACACGTGTCACAATTAATTACAGGATAAATATTTCAATGAGTTTACCTCAACACGTAATCCAGATTGTGCACCCAAACATTCTCCTTTGATATTAAACCAAGCCATCTAAAGAAATTCCCGGCCAACACCGGGAGCCAAATCGAGACCTGGTCAGCGAGCAAACGCTATACTGAGCTACCGCGGTCCCGTGACGAGTCATAGACCTACACATTTTCACAAAACGTCGGGGATTTGCTTTTAGTAGGCCAGTGGGACTATCAGATCTGATTTGCTCTTAGTAGGCCAGTGGGTCTATCAGATCTATATTTTGAATGCAATATTATAACAAAATACAAACTAAATGTATTGATATGCCTAAACCATTCCATTAGCAACGGGAAGAAAAGAACGGGTCAAGTTGGAAGTTGTGGCTAAATTGAAACAAAATGAAATGAAATGAAATGGGGTTTAACGTCCTACTGTTCTGCTCCTATGCTGGGCTAATGAAGACGGTCATACGCCATACAGTGTGCTATGAGGAAAATTTTGCCCGGGCAGCGGCACTATCGCCTACTCTTATATCGAATTCCAACTGCCAGGGGATCTTTTACGTGCATTCCAATATATACACGGGACCTCGGTTTTTCGTCTCATATCCGAAGGACTAGACAGCTGTCCTTGTCAGGCCCTCCGTCCCGCATCACTGACAAGGGGGAACTTTCTCGGCCAATGCAGGGATCGAACACCCGACCTCCAGGCTAGCGAGCCAGCGTCTTACCCACTTAGCCACGTGATCCCCCGTATACATAACATAATAATATAAAGACACTATGATAAAGTGTAATATACCCCTACACACTAACCTATTAGCAGGAACTATGATTTAAATTGGAAGTTCTTAGTGTATTGGTCGTGAAATATTATAACAAATAATTAATTACAAGATAAGTTATGTCGGGTGAACTTTTTCTCTTAGTTAACCCTTATTGGTACAGAAAAGTAGGGCGTTAAACCCCATTTTATTTAATTTCTTTGCGTCGCGCGGCGCTTTTTTTAAAGGCGACGTGCAAAATGACTAAGGCAGAACAGCACACAATGTTCTGATCTATTTTCTGCTGGTAGTGGGAATGATGAGATTGCAGGGTGTTTATAAACAAATAAAGCTTATGGAAGGTGGATGAACTAGAGAAATAACCGTTCCATTAGATGAAACATCCTTTGATTCATTGAAAAGTAGAATTTGTGAGGGGTTTTTTTTTTATCAAAGGTGAAGAACAAAACTTTGACATTAAGTTAGGTAATTTAAGAGGGAAGAAATTAAAACATTCACAATTTTATCTGATCAAGAATGCTCTCTAAATGAATACATGAAATGCCATAGTTTATATGCTTCAAAATTTCGCATGTATTTAATGACACAAAATGTGATAAAGACTCTTCAGAGCATCACCTACATAAACAGCACACAGAACAAGTAGAAGTTTCATAAAGTGCTAGCAAATTTGAGTTTGAGCATTTAGAAACAAAGAGTATGGAGATTTCTTATCTTCGCAACTATTCATCTTTCGTGAGTAAGCAAGTAAAAATTTCAAAATGTACTAAGCAATTGGAGTTTGAGCATTTGGAAACAAACAGAAGTATGGTGTTGTCTTACGTTAGAAACAATTCGTCATAATATGATCCTGAAATTGTCGTCAGACAGGTGTGTTTCAGCAGGCCAAAATGTTATGATTTGAGTGCCAAAACTGATGACCATACTGAAACAAAGGATTATAACCCTTGCACTGACAATTATTTTTTAGTGCGATCATTGAAGGTTGGGGGTTCTGTTTTTTGCTGTATTTCAAACCACAACTTAAAGAAGAAAAAGAGTGTTCGGTAGTGCACCAACCACATGAAATATGTGGTTATGTTGATGAGGAAATTGTCATTGGAGTAATAGTTAATGACCTCCAAAGTAAAATTTATTATGAATGGTACAAAAACAATGGCAGCTGGTGTGGGCGTTTGTTGTATTTGGATTCGGGAACCAGGTACATACCATTGTTGTATTCAAAAGGATGAAATTAAAGAAATATCAAATTATGTTAAGGTGTATAATAAATTTGAAAAGAAAATTGTTTCTAGATATTTTAGTACCCCAGATATAACTGGAATTCAGAAGAATACATAATTGGCGAAGGAACATTTGGTCGTGTATATCGTGCAAAGTGGATGGGCACAGATGTAGCCGTTAAAAAGTTTCGTCTTAAAGAGACAGCTGAAAGCTGTTGCCAACTCTGTAAAACGGGAATGTGGTATTCTGAGTAGAGTGCGCCATCCTAATATTGTTCAGATAATGGGGATAGTTACTGAAAGTAGTATCATGATTGTATCTGAACTCATAGATGGAGAAAATCTGGAAACAATTCTTTTTGATTCGATGTCAAAAATGACAATTGAAGTGGACAAAAAACCCATCGTTGGTAAACAAATTACCCAAGCAGTTGCATATCTTCACAACATCCAGCCACAAATTATCCATATGGATATTAAAGCTGCGAACATCCTTATAGCAAAAGACACCCTTGTAACCAAACTTGTGATTTGGGACTTAGTAAAATAAAGGTTAGTCAGACAGCAACATGTACCAATTTGATGCCGGGTACTCCGGCTTATATGGCTCCAGAAAAATATTGATTTATGGAAATGTGGCAACTGAAGCAAGCGATATTTGGTCAGTAGGGTATGTTTTGCTAGAACTCTTCACTTTGAAAGAAGCCTGGGAAACCGAAGATATTGATTATGATTTCATAAAAGATAATTTGAGGCAAAACCAGTCACCAACATCAATTAAATATTTGTCTTACTTGGGAGGAATATTATATTGCAGTGTTTCGCATTTGAAGTGAAGGATTGCATTAATGCGAAGGCTAT